TTATTCTTTTTCATGTTGTGCTTCATGTAACATACATTCTAGACTAGAGGGCCGCTCATGCCCTTTACAAATAAATTAACATTTTCGCACTAATACAAATCAATATCGTCATTAGACAAGAATTAAAACATAAAATTTATAAACAACACCTACCACGGCATATTCTTGAACAAGTATGCCTACAAACCTACGATAAGCATGTTTGTTATTATTATACTTAACCTACAAATGTTATGACTTAGGGCATACCTGCTTTCCTAGATAAAACATGCGAACTAATTGCGAGTGCGACGTGAACTTTACTAGTAAGAATTTACAACTGTGAATTTCTCAGAATTGATTGACAGTTCAGACGAACCTATGGCCACAGACTTCGGAAACCTACAGTATTATTGCATTAGTATACTGTATTTGTATTATTGTGTTACTAGCAGAGTACCCGTCCTTCGTACGGGGTTGACATATAAGTATAAATGCTTATTGCAGTTATGGGAGATGACACGATTTAAAAAAAAACTGGTCTTTTAATTTATACGGTATCCTATTGTGTAGCACACATCTACCATAGTCCTGATGTTCTACCACTGCACCTAGACCATGGAAAAAAGTAAAGTTCTCATTGTGTACCACAACTTTTTTTGCTAGTTGGTTCAAATTAGCTGTGGTCATTAATGCAAACAAACAACATAATAGTGCTGCACCCTGTTTGGCAAGCCTTATAACTTTTTAATGCTGTTTAATATCATAGAACCAACTTGTACAGTTGAATCGGCTGACAAAATTCTTTAATTTCTTTAAATATGAATTCTCATAAGGTTAACATGAGAAAGTCCAGAGCCAGAGCCACCGGGGCGGAGACTGAAAGAATTTTTGAGGTAAGAATATGTTAATCGGGGATGTCATCTATCATCATACCAAATTTCAACCTTGTCGGTTTCGTATTTTTCGCGTTTGCTTGTCACAAACATCCATCCATCCATTCATACATCCATCCATGGTTTGCACTGTAAACAAAAAGCTATCACAATAGTTCCAAACCGACAAATAGGAAAAATAGGAAAATATAAATAAATATGGAAAATAGGGTAATTTTCTAATATATTTTAGTGAAATTATATAATCAGGCAAATGGAAATTCAGTCTACAGATTTGCTGTGGCTGGGGATTATATTATGGTTTACACAAAAATAAATCAAAACATAAACCTCATAACACTCAGGAAAAGGGCCTAGGTTGATAGGGCAATGATTATAGAATCTTAATTATTTCCTATATCCATGATGAATGATTTCTTTTTTAAACGAATTATTCCCATTGTTTCACAGGAAACATTTTTAACCATTGTAGTAACATCATTATAGCTTAAAAAGTTGATAGTTTACATAATGTTTAGTACATTTGACGGATAAAACTTTTTTGAATTCGTCATATTATAAGTGTATGAAAATTCATATATTTGTGTATCAATATCTACTTATCTCATTTCTGTTCAATGGAAGTTATACAATTTCAACGATACCGGTACTTAAATGGGAAGTCTTACAGCTGTTATAAAACTGTGCATACATTTTATCTTACGAGTAAATTTGCTACCAATTGATATAGTATGAAGATTCTATTCTACTGCAGTACTTAGAATTCTACCACTACTCACATTAAACCAACTATATTTACTTTTGGGCTAGTGATTAATTTATTGTATTAATCATACAATATAGTGAATAGTGTAGTCATTTATTTATTTCGTTTCTATGACATAGCTCTATTTTGTAGAAATCAATTATGCAATCATAACAACAGAAATACTGCATCATTACATTTTACGGTGACATAGTATTTATTTTACATATAAAAAATTTGAGCTAATGCAATAATTAGTTCAATTAGAACCATTGAATATTGAATAATTTAAACATTAATCGAAGACGAAGTGGTTGACAACTTTCAAACAGTTGACTAGGACTAGTTGCCTTCAATAATTGCAATGCGAACTGTATGCACTGAGGTCGGCAAACAGTGTTCACAGTGTGCAGGCACTTTGGACGTCGTGGCACTTGGACGTCGTGCAACAGTAAATATTGATTGGACGTCGTGGCACTTGGACGTCGTGCAACTGGCAGCGACTTTGGACGTCGTGCAACACTCCCGCAAATATTACTTTTTTACAATTCTATAGTGCGCTGTTTCACGACGTCCAAGTGCCACGACGTCCAAAGCTTGTAGAAAGACTATATCTTTGGCAGTTACTGTACTTTTGGACGTCGTGGCACTTGGACGTCGTGCAACAACTCAAAAATTATGTTTTGGACGTCGTGGCACTGGAAAAATATTATTGGACGTCGTGGCACTTGGACGTCGTGCAACACTCCCCAATTGGCTTATTTCCAAATCATTAGCTTTACATAATTTTAGTTATGTATACAATTTTAGTTAGTAATTGTACCGTGCTATACAATTAATCGGTGTCATCCGTGTGTAACAAATTAGTTCAGAATCAATGATCAATTCAGGACTATAATCGCACTAAATTGATTTACAGCACAACAGTTCATCGTTATTTAAGAATCCAACACAATCCAGCCTATTGAAGAAGTCATTAAATCATTGTTCAAGGATTCGAAATACGAAGGAAAATTTCTCCTATGTACCGTAGTATTTGTTGGATACAAATTACTGTATGGACATAATAATTTAGTCATAGAAATCTTGCAATGTTTAAATTGATGCATTGATTACGAAAGTTAGGTCTGCACCCTGGCCATTGTATAATCGAATGTGACAATGTGTGAGCCAAGGCTGTTCCATTCAGACCAGAAATAGATGAAACTAACACAATTAGGGGCGTGGTCCACTGTCTACCTAAATGTTGGTCATGCAAGCCTTTCATTAGAGCTAGGCATACATTTGGTCACGATCACACTAGGGATTGATTTAACGTATCAGCATTATTCAATGATTTTAGGGATAACCCCCATTATTAGTGATGATAGTTTTGAAATAAATAATTAGGAATAATATTTTTGGCCGTCAAGTTGAGAAATTCCCCGATTTTATGACCGGAACCTCAGTATTTGCTTTTAACAGCATAAAAGTGATAGTGTTTCAAACACTAAACAAATTTACCTACTAAAAATTAATTTGAGTAATTTAAGCCTATATGCAAAAGGGAGTACTTTGCAACATATTCTAGCTAGAGTTAAAACATTAACCCAATCCGACCGTTGAAAAATAATATTTTGGTAATCCAATCTTTTTTCAGTAAAAATTTGTCTATTTTTATCGAAAAATAATATTTATTAGAAAATATTACTCTACAACATGTATAGTCTACTAAAATTAACATGCTTATTTAATAAGCATGCTAGGTTTTGGCAGCCATAAGAATTAATTTTGTTGTAACCCACAAATAACTCATCTAAAAGAGTATGAGTTTATTTGAATGCTAAATAATTGTGAATGGATGTAAGATGGGTTCGGATAGACACTGTTGCAAAAGATTAATTCATCTACGATAGTAAATGTTTTTGTGTGAAATTTTGTCACTTGTTTTCCAGGAATTTGCCTTTTATTACTTAAATACACGTTATTTAAAAACTTTACGTTGGGCCATGACATAGATTTTTTTCTAAGCCTACAATACCGATGATTTTACCTTAACATACATGCCAATTTTCATAGGGATTGGTAAAAAATCAGATATATATATTGTGTAAAATATACAAAAACGCAGAAAATAAAATATACAACACCGTATGCAAAAAAATATCTGGTAAACGCAGCGTTTTTAAAATGTTAATTTTAGATTTTCTTATTATTTTCAAACATAAACGATTCCCGTAGTTTTGCATTTTGTTTACTGGACAACACCATACACAGCATAACGATTATCAACAGTGAAACTACAATGACGAGAGAAAGGCGTTCGTAATCACGATCAGCTGTGTGAACTTTTCCAGAGATCAGCTGATCCAGTGACAGATAGCGTGATTGGGGATCGGTTTGGCGGGTAAATGGTTTTCCGGCGTCTGTCGACACCGCGTGCAGCGCTACTGGTGGGAAACTTATGAAATACCTGTTACCTGCATCCTGCTGTAAAGACGAGAAACTGAGATAGTTTTGTTGTTATTTTATTTGGTAGAGAATATTTTTTTTGTTCAGTAATTATAATTTTTCTAGATTGTTTTTAAAGTCCTTTACATGTGTGTGTGATTTAATTTAATATTTATTGTGAGAGTTTCAACTAAGTTATTCAGACTGTCTGATAAGCAATTTTGTATTAAAAACACTTATAGCACTCAATATAACTATTATACCATTTTATTGAATTAGATATTTTATTGTATTATATTTAAATATACAGTATTGTATTACATTAACTGGCTGGGTAGATGAGTGGTTATAGTGATCTCCTAACAATCAAAATGTTGCCTGTTATATCATGTGTAAAGTTCTCTAGCTTTTTGATTGTTTGAAACTGGACCCAGCTGTTCCTGATCATTGGGCTTTGAATAAATGATCCTGGCTAATGAAACAGCTGATCTTAATCAGTAACAAAGCTACACAGATCATATTATTCCAGTATACACTCTACACTAATCCTTCCCTCATATTTTTGTTAAAATATGCACCTTACACATGGGTTGTTTTGTTGAACTTTTATATCCTACAACTAAAATTTACATTCTGTTAAATTTTACAAAAGTATATCCAGAAACTAGCAGTCATATTGGGAAGTAGGTAAATCAAAACATTTTCCCCCCAATTGAATCATGACTAGCGTAATCAATAATTTAGCTGATTATCATACAAAAATTAAAATTTTACACCTTTAGACTATACTTAAACACACCAAAACAGTTTGTATAAGGCAAAGATTAGTGTTGAATGGAGGCGATGATAACTTTTGTTATTGGATAAGATATAAGCTAAGGCTAATGTATTAGAACCGCTAAAATCACTGGAAATCCTACAATTTTTCTGAGCATCTTGTTGTTTTCCAGAGCTGGATTCTCCTGGTGCTAAGTCGGTTTGGAGTGGAGTGGACAGTGACCAGGACCTGGTGTCAGTGGTTGGAACTAGAAACAGGTCAGTACTGGAATTATACATTTTAGTGAATTTCCCTAATAGGGAATAATCCATTACCCCTAGATCTCATAACAAGACGTACTTATAACACTGATTTACTTTTTCATTTTGTTGCCCGTAAAGGGTAACACCATCAGTTCAAATTAATTTATTTGTTATTTGTATATACATGTGTCCATTAGCATGAAAAATTCAGTAAACATCATTCGATTTTAATTAAATTTGAAATTTTGTAAAGACGTGTAAAGCTACTATTCAAACAAGTATGCAAATGTATTTGTTTATTGGAGGGTTTATAGGTAAAAAAATAAAGAAAGCTTTTTAAATTTGATAGTACTGTTGTTATACAGATGAAATTCATTGGGTCTTCAAATTTATCAAGTTTATGTACTTAATTTTAAGAAAATATGTTAATTTATTTTTGTATTTTCAGGGTCAGAAGTGGAGCTTCCAAAAGCAGACTGAAAGTTTACATTGGCATTTTAATTTTAATAACTCTAGGACTTTTAACAGCGTGTGCCTTCCTATTATATAGTTGTAAGTATTGCCACTAAATTCTACCATTGCACGAATTAAGTATTTAAGTATTATAAACTGATAGAAAAAGTAAGAATGATTTCTTATAACTAGGTAAGTGAAAAAATTGTCTAAAACAATGAAGATTTAGAGGCAAATATTTGATTTATCATTTATGTGGTTTTGTGCCTCAAATCAATGTTTGAACAAATAGACGAAATACCGTCAACATGCATATTGCATGAAGACTTCTTATCCTATCGTAAAATGGCTTCTATTGTTGTGACTTTTAGTAATACTTGAGTGTGTCGTTGGTAATTTAATGGTTCGCTGTGACGTGAGTGTTTTCTCTTAGAAAAGAAATCTACTAGAGTATACTGCAGTAGGACACGATTCCAACTTTTAAGTTCCATTTCCTTCAGTTTGTCAAGAAATAAAAACCATTTTATTTAATTTTTTTCAGATATTGAAAATATGTTATCGCCAAAAGATATTTGTGTAACAGCAGAATGCATTACAGCAGGTGTGTATTTTGGATTTGTTTATAACTTATTTTTCAATCATAGTTCACCGCTTCTAATTAGTTCACTGATTAGTGAAGTAAAGTAAATTAGTTTAAATTCAAGTTTAGATACAGTACATTTTAAAATTTGAAATACTGAAGTAACTGTTACTATATAGTTAACTTAACTATATTATGGGTAAAATATAAATGTAAAAATTAAATGGAAAGAAGAATAGTTCTAAGAATAGTTAATTAAAAATCAAATTCAATCTACAAAGAATAATACACATTAAATTATATAATTTTTTGTTTTTAACTTTGTACTCTTTTGTTTTACAGCCGCAATGATACTGAACTCTATGGATCCTTCTGCCAATCCTTGCGATGACTTTTACCAATTCGCTTGTGGTAATTTTGACAAGGAGCATCCGATTCCGGAGACAGACTTCAATGAAGACTGGTTCACAAACAGGAATCATTTTTCAATCAGAACAGTTAGAGGTAAGCAGTCAAGGTTTGGTTATTTCCGTTGGGAAGTAAATTTATTGAAGGTTTTATTTAGGATTCTGATATAAATTTATTACATATTTATTTTGATTGTTTGTGTAACAGGTTACTAATATACAAGCTGAGTCTGTGGATTAAGGTCTGTGTTTAGCTCATTTCTGTCTACCTGCGATGGAATTTTTATATCAGTTGACGGATCAGACTACAGAAATGTAATCACAGATCGTAATTTATACTTGGCAGGAGCATAAATTTTATCTCTCAATGTCAATGCTATGACCAGGGACATCATTCATAAGGGTGGGCATAGTAGTGAGTTAAGTAAGAAACAAGACGTGGGTCTCAGATTTTAAATTGCTTGTTAGCTCGATGCTGAGGAACTTAATTGACGGAAAAACCTCGCATATGACTACAGGACATAATTTTTTTAAATCATTTTTATGAGACAAATCGATTATTCTGGCAATGGGTTGTACTGCTTTAAAACTGTGTTGTCCTTATAGGTTTATTTAACTTGTAAAATGATTTGTCGTATTTTATTTATGGCATTTAAATAAATTATTCATCTTAGTAAATAAAGGGACTTGTAAAAACTCTAAAATTGATTTGTTCTTCGAAATTCAATCTGTAAACACTACCTGGTGATTACGTTTTTGAAGATTTTGTTGTGACTTTTAAGATGTTTGTATTTTTACAGAATATTTAGAGCAAAATGACACTGATGATGAACCCAGGCCTGTCCACCAAGCTAGAATTATGTTCAGAGCGTGTAAAGATATTGGTAAGTTTAGATTACCGGTATTAGGTAAAAGTTAGTACGTACTAACTAAATAATATATTATACTATAAGGATGACCTAGTGTTTTGAACATAGTGTGACTTTAGTTTTTTATTGAGGAGTGAGCTGGTCTAGTGGTAGAGGGTGGGACTCTGTTCCCGAGGTGCCGGGTGCAAATCAATCAATGAATTTAACTAAGTGATAATACTGTGATCCTAGACTGTTAACTTGTTAAGCAATTTAAATACATATTCTACTACAAAAGCATCTTTCTGCATACATATTTGTCAACTGGCATAAGGAATAATCAGGAATTGACCCCTTTACAACCGAACCCTATCATAGAATGTGAGTCATACGTGGTGGAAGCGTTTAATTTCTTTTACAACATGTTGAACCACACTTTGACAATTTCTTATCAAATAAATGGGAACTGGCTAGAATGGTAGTGGACGAAGTAAGGTTTGTACAATAATGGTTTCAAATCTGAACTAGCTCATATGGCTGCGACAGAATCTCGATGGGGACCTTAAATTTAAAAAACCCAATTTTAATAATAAAAATATTACAATTCACTTAGCTTTAAAAAAACTTTTGAACAATTACTTGAAGTCACAAACATTAACCCAACAACCTTTTGGTTTACAGATTCTTTGCAGAAGGTGTCGCTAAGTCCGATGATGAGGTTCCTGGAGCACCTAGGTTTGCCGCGCAAGCCTCCCCTCGGTGCAGGCGATGCTACCATCTCCTGGCAGGAGGCTGTAGCTCACATCAAGCGACACATTGACAAGGACATCTTTATTGGCTTCGACGTTATGGCAGACCCTGTTAACAACACTGTGAATAGAATATCTGTAGGGATGCCTTCGGACAGCAGTCCACTGCCTAGGTTAGTGAAAACCTTGTTTTACTGTAAAAGAAGGGGGATAGTATCATCTCTAAAGAGGAATTACAGGGGATGTTCAAACAGTAACCTTGTAGAAAAATCTATTTGACAAGCAATGAACTCTTTGTTAACTGCCTAAGTTTGATGATATATTTAACGGTTTTGTGTTTTGCAGTCATAACGAACACAGCAAAATAAAACGTCCTCCACTCCGTAGACTTCTAGCTAGGGGCGGAGCTCGAGGCAAAATAGCTTGGAAAGACTACATAGTCAAAACTTTGAATTATATCTTGGAGTACAACAATCAATCTTCTAAAGCTCTCAACTCTACTGTTCAAGAGGCTGCTAAGAAGATAATAGATTTTGAAGCCAAACTTATTAATGTAAGTAGATTAGTTTTTTGGGAAGAGCACTTAGCTTAGATATTATCAAAGACAAATAGAATAAATATAGACTGTAAAAGGAAGGTCCTTTAATGTGCTGCTACTGTATGCTCAGTGTTGGTCGATTCACTGCCGTCGTTACAAAATGCTACCAACATATCAGACCCACTTTTCAATATGAGTAAAGTACAAAATTCTGAAATCCCGTGATTTTAACAGGAAGCCCATTTTTTTCATAAAACCTCCGAAAAATAACAAATTCTGAAGAATCCTCCAGAAGTTGGCAACCCTGGTTCAAACAACCAACTTGTTATGGTAACACACGCTACCGCTGATGCTGCAGCGGTGTGCGCCGAAACTACATGGCACTCCTAGCAGTAGACGTCATAATATATGCTAACCGCAGCATACTGCTGTTGGTCTATATATTTAATTCTTTTGTTGATGATATTATGAAGAAAAATTACACAGCCAACTTTTCAAAGTTTAATAACTGCAAAACTAGGTTTACTATAGATTCTTCTAAATGGAACAAGAAAACTAACTTACGTAAATGATGGTGTACTGCTAAAAGATAATAATAGATATTAATAGTCTAATCCAAGTATATACAAGTCTGATTTAAATGGATTTTACGTTTGGTAAAATCAATGTTGACAATGATGCATCTTAATAGTATTCCCAGTCTGTTGACTGACTAATGAATTGGACAAAAAAGAAAGAGATAGTCCATGAAAATTGATATTAACTACAGAACTCTGAACGATTGACCCAAATTCTGCAGTCTTAGTTCATAAAACTATAATCAAAAGCTTGTCTTATTTAGAGGGCCGCCAACAGTTTGTTAACATTGGGTATTTAGATGGAAATAAGATGTACAATGTTAGATCTAATGTTAGGGAAGTTAAGTATTCTGTTCCTCAGGGATCTGTGTTGGGTCCGTTCCTGTTCCTGTGCTACTTGGGAGGGATGCCAAAACATTTATCTGAACGGGTAGAAAACAATGCCCTCTGCTTGTATGCAGATGACATAAGTATGTCTATGCATGAAAAGAATATTGAACTTCTTGAAATAAAAATGAAAGATTCGCTCAAAATAATTGGAGATTATTCAAATGAAAAAAACCTTTTACTTAATAAAAACAAAACAACCTTCATAAAATTTGAGTGTAAAAAGTCTGGCGAAAAGATATTTGAAAATTTTGCATGTGAAACCAAATTTTTAGGTCTAACCTTGGACAGTACACTAAAGTGGACCTCACATGTCGATAAAATATGTAATAAAATTAGCTCCGGTATTTTTACTTTAAGACGACTATTTCCCCTTTGCAGTAAAGAAATTTTGCGTGTGGTTTATTATTCAAATATACACTCCCATATTGCTTATGGCATTGAAATTTATGGTGGAACAAATAAATCTAACTTAAATGAAATTTTACATTTACAAAAAGAGGCCATAAGGTGCATCCTTAATTTAAATGAAAATGAATCATGTAAAAATCGTTTCAAAGAATTAGAATTCTTTACAGTTTACAGCCTCTACATATATAAGACTATATTATATGTTAAAAGCCGGGAGTCACAACTGCAAAGACAGCAGGATGTACATACTTACAATACTAGGCACAAACAAAATTTTATAATTAAAAAGCATAAAAAAGAAAAATTTAAAGAAAGTCCTGATTATATTGGGGTTAAATTTTTTCATTCTCTCCCTTGTAGCATCAGAAATGAGGAAAACAGAAATAAGTTCAAAAAAAAGCTTAAGAATTTTCTAATTAATGGAGAGTTTTATAATTTTGAAGAATTTACTGCACTATGTTCAAAAATGTAAATAAACATGTAAATATGTAAAAAAGAAATAAAACGGATCAGGAAAATGGTTTTAGTATTAGTTATAGTTTAAGATTAAGACGCATTCATGTACACATTGTTGTATGTCTGAATAAAGATTTATTTGACTTGACTTGACTTGACTACCTTTGATGCTTGACATTTGATTTGACATTTTGACGATATTATAAATATGATGATGAGCCAGTATGGGACTAATGTTAGCCCACAACGACATTACAGCATTGGTCTAAAGAGGTTTTTTTTTTAATTTGTCTTCAATCCTGCCACTGTTTAGTAGGGTTTATAGGCTGAGTTGGGCATACTAAAAAATCACAATAGAACACAGAAAACTGACCTGCACCTAGAAATAGCCAATTTAGCGGTTTCCTAATCTATTTTAGCCGCAATCCTAGTATTATCCATATACAGCATCTCTTAAGATAAAAAAATCAATTCTATACAATGAATTACATCCAAAATTTAAGGAATAAGCCCTAAATGAGTCTACAAACTAGTAATTTAAGCAACTGTCTTCTGCACAGCTGAAGGAGAATTTCACTTCAACTGATCCAACACGAGATGATCTGCCTAAGAACATGTGGGTGACAGAACTTCAGAAGATTACTGACAAGGCTGTTACAACTTCACAAGTAAGGTATCTTCCAAAAATTTCTTCTTCTTATAACTTAAATGTTTTCCTTGGTTATCTATAAGTCACTAGTAGAGTCAACTTTTACCAGGGCTCTTTAATGACAGCTATCAAGTGAGTATATATACATATCGAGCTAGTTTACGAGCTGCATGTAAAAAAGCTGGCTATCGTAGCTTGAAAACTCGCTCTGAAAATTTAGCTGATTTAAAATTAATTGTTGAAGGAATTACTTCATCTCCCCAAACAATTTGTATTGCTATAATTTGCATGAAAATTTGTAATTTACAGATAAACTGGAGGAAATACATTGAGGTGTTGTTTGAAGGAATTGATGAACTGGATGTTAACCTGGACGATTACGACAAGTTGGCAGTTTATAGCGTCGACTACCTGAAGGCGTTGATGAAACTTCTCGCAAAAACTCCTCCTTCTACAATATGTAAGTTTAATAAAGCAAAAACTCATTGGCTCAGCCAATTATATGTAATATTGTAAATGATTATAACGCCAAAAATTTACTCAGTCTTGAGAAAATTGTTCCCTAGACTCAGCTTTTAATTAATGGTCCTGGTTAATGAAACAGCTAGTCTTAGTCGGTAACAAAGCTACACTACACAAGGTATCTCACTTCATTCTAAACTCATCTTTCACTCATATTCAGGTTATAACCCCCATCTAGGTGGCGTACCCATTTCATTGGCTATACGTAATTGTAATATTATACGTTACTCCTTTTATAAGGCAGGGCGATGAAGAAAAAAATCTTTTGTAATACTGTAGTGGATGGACTAAGCTAATCTCAACACATCTTTATTTGCCTTTTCACATTTGACGAAGACAATTTCCAATATTTCAATCGGGGATGCCGTTTTGTCGTCATTAACTAAAAGACCAAAGCTACCTTAATAAACCAGTATTTATTTACAAACAATTATTGTTTGCTGTCTTTAGCAAAGTTAAAGCTATGGAGTGATTCAATTATTTATTGAAAATAACATCAACAAAAGCAAACAAAGACAATAAACAAACAAAAGATATGGTGTACAGGGATATATATTCTGATACATAGATAATATATTTCTGAGTTTGTTTGAATATTAGAATAATTTGTTTTACATTATTGAGCTTTTTAGGGACTTATGTGCTAGTGATATTTAAATAAGCAACAATTCCATTTTATACTGTAGCAATACTAGAGAATCTTCATAATTTGTATGTAAAGAAACTGTACAATATTTTGCATACATTGTTGGATGCAAAATAAAATTAGAAAAATTTGTTCTAATATAAAAATGAGGTGCTCAAAAGGTTTGATATTTCCTGTTTCAAACATATCTACTATCAAGAAACCAAATCTACTGCGGAGGTGTTATAAATCAGTTTCCAAATATCACTTCCTCATTAGTTATTATTATCAGTGTAGACTTTATCTCAACATGTATTTTCACTTTTACTGTGTGACATGCAACCAATTATTGTTGATTTATTAATGGGTTTTAATTCACGATGAATAAATTGATGAAAAATATTTTTTATACCAAATTTAACAAAACATTTGAGTAACATAATCTCACAAACAATATATATATAATTTAAAAAATTCTACTTTTTTTGCTAGACTCTAGCACAAAACCATTCTTACACGTTACTTCAGGCTACACCACCGGGTTGCGGCACTATCACAAAACTCAAATCCATTTGGTAATTGGTAGGATTTGAACCCAGGACCTCTATCGAAGTCCCAAGATCTACCACTAGACTAGCTCTGCCTTTGACATATACTTAGTAATTTGTGTCTTATTTTTGTTAAGAGCTGTGTCGAAACATAAAAAAATGTTCTAAATAGTAATAAATATCTGTATATTTAACTGAAAACTGAATCACGGTTTTGTATTTAACAACTAATCATGCAAACAAAGATAATATGAGTTTTTGTGGAAACAACAACAACAAAACAAAACACCCAACCTCTAATTGTCAGCATGTTTTAACGTTACTTAATAAACGTTTTATATGTTATTTAAAGGATTATTGGATATTAATATCACTGATTAGGTAAACACAAGTTTCAAAACGTTCAAAATCCACACCTATAACCAACAAAGAATGTTTAACATAGAGCTGAAGAAAGGTAAAATTTGTTTCCAGTTTTGACGGTGTGGTGGGAGGTCGTGTTCGAACTCGCTCCTCACACTACCAACTATATGAGGGATCTTCGGACAGACTTTGAGGAAAAAACTATCGGAGAAGTAGCTCCAGCTTCTAGGTAATGTACATGCATTAGTTTTGAAGACTGCTGCAAGTAGACTTATTGCAAGTAGACTTAATTGTAAAACCTATAGCCTTTTTATGTGTTTTCAATGCTGGAGTGTGTTTGAAGTGTACCGACAAAGACTTAGACTTAATATTTATTCATCATTTTAGGGTAAATTTTACAATTCATTCTTTTAGACCTACTATTTTGTCATGTAACCAACAATAACAACAACAAGCTATTGATTGTTTAATTTTTTAAATTTATAGAATGACAAGAAACAAGGTAAACAACTAATACCCTTTACAAACTACTAGGAAAAAATCTTAATACTACCTTTTGCTGACAAATTGAAAGGTCGTAAAGGCGATAAATCTTTCAAGGAGGAAAAACTCACTTCGAGAATCAAGATTAATTATTATTGATCACTACTTTTGACTGTGAAATTCCATCCCCCCCTTTCAAAGTTGAAGCCAGTATTAGAATCTAGTTCAATTTAGCCACTGACAGAGCTTTATTAACCAAAGTATGGTACTTCACAGCATCCTAAAAGATTTAAAAACCGAAAAAAAAAAATAGATAATAGTAGTACACTTTAAAACGGTGTTTACACAAAGCCAGTTGACTTGCAGGCTACCTGTAACTTGAAATACACTAAAGGCAAGTAACCTGCGTGCTCTACTGGCCTTGTGAAAAACCGGCTTAAGACATAGTTATTCGCAAATATATTTTCTTTAAATATAAAGAAATAACTGCTCTATATCCAAAAATTTCTATCCTAAATCTGTAGTTATGAGGTTTCTGATTTATGGTTTTTAATGGAAGAAATTTTACTTGAGTTTTATTGTACAGACCAACGCATTGTGCCTACGTTGTCTACAAACTGTTAGACGTGGCAGTAGGAACAGCCAAAACCACCGAGTCTTTCCTTTACATGACCAAACCAAAGGTAAATACAAGACTTTTAAGCCTTTAATTTAATCTATTGCAGGAGAAACATATATTCATGACTGGAGTTCATGGCCCTAATGAATAAACTGAGGGTTAAGTGCAGAAATGCATTATAGAATGAAATTGTTCCGTGAAAAAAATGGAGTGGAAAAATAATGTGAAATCCTTTTTCCTTTGTGGTATTCTGTGAGTAGTCTAGGGTACCCACAAAAACACAATTCCTTCCAAAATGAACATTTTAACGGCCATTTTTATACTCCCTAGCTTATTCCCGCACATCCCCCGCTACCACTGCTTTAGTCATCTGGTGATGATGTCAGCATCGGATATGTTTCTTGCGGTAAAAAAACGTACCACACTGACCTTATCTGGCAAGTGGCGGGGAATTCAATGGTTCAAAAACTTTTTAAACACACAGCAAAGGGTACATATTACTACAGAGCTGAAGTTTGTGTCATTATATGTTCACAAATGATGCCAGTAAGTGGCGGGTGCCTTGTTGCGGCGTACAAGTGAACTATGGATTTACACACAAAAATGGCCCTTACTTAGAAAATCATTCTCATAGATAGTATTATGTTACCTTGCTTCATAAAGTGATCCTTACGGTAGTATACTATTGTTTCGGACTCGTGGAGTCAATCATCCTCAGGTGACAAAAACACCAGGTCATCTTATCAGATTTGGACCTGATGATGGACAGGTCCCAGGCTGCCTCCTGAATGAAATTTGGAACTTTTCTGTATTTCTGCCAACAATGTTCTCTATAAAGCTCTGTTGGACCAATTTTGAGATGTTAACAGGTAGATTACAGTTTGTTTTCACAAAAAAATATTTGGATTAAATATTTAAAGGTTTACTTACATTTTTTCAGGTAAACAAAATGATTGACGACATTCAAGACTCCTTCATCAAATCAGTGGATAAAACTTCGTGGATTGACAAGACGACAAAGATAGAGATAAAGGAAAAAGTCGGTCACATCCGGAGAAGAATCGGCTTCCCTGAGTGGATGTTAGACAAAGAAGAAGTGGAGGATTACTATGACACTGTAAGTAGACACAATTTTTGCTTCTGATAGAATATTTTTATGTAGTCGATAATAAATCCTATTTTTTTATAGTCAAGACAGTGTTAAGCCTAGTATAAAAGAGGCCATTTTTATAGATAAGCCGGGTTTACACGATGCCAGTTGGCGAGACAATTGTCAGGAGACAACTGACTGGCTTGGAATTACTGGCTTCGTGTAAACACTTCAGGCCCGCCAATTGTCCCGAAATTCAGTTGTCTCCGGGAGTAGACTGAGGACAACGAGCTGGGCCCAGTGAGGCCCCTACCCCTCGAAAACTCAGTTGTCGTGACAATTGGCGCTGTGTAAACGGTGTAGAGGCCAATAGCACTGTCTTGTCTTTTGGCAGTAGTACCCTGGTTCACTGTAAAATGCCTGGTCAAGTGTTGGCCACGTGTGAACAGGTTCTCGTTCAACTTGCCTGGCCTACGACAATTCCAAAACCACGTGATGCCAATTGGCAAAGACAATTGTCTCGCGAACTGGCATCGTGTAAACCCGGCTATAATGGAGATGCTATCAACTACCTCAGACAATATTCTCAGATGAGTTGGTTGTGCATTTGTTTCTTTTTTCATCTTACATTATTAATTCCACCAAAAACTTGTATTAGTTGGGCTATAGGAATTTGAATTAGACTATTGCAAATATTAAAATCGTTGCTACAGACTTTGTTTTCTTTTTCCACAGTTGGAGATGTACGAGAAGACACATCTAGAGAATGTTTTGACATTTCTCGGCCGCTCGGTTTACAGCTCATTCAGCACACTACACACGTACAACATGAACAATAAGTATGACTTATTAATTAACTTGCTTGTTAAAATTGTGAAGATCGTGTTTGGATAGTGAAGTTAAACTTTCCTCTCATAAATAGTTTCCATTGGTATAACCTAACACTTTAAGATTACTGTAAGATTGATCTGTTGCAGATTAGTAGGGACGGATTTAGCATTTTGGCGCCCCCAGGCCCAAAATACACTTGAACAACAGCCCAATAATCTTTTCCGGTACCTTGTTTGGTTAAAAATACTTATAAAAAGCTTCATTAAAAATTTGTACAGGTATATATATAAATTGCTTAAACACAACTCCTCGATGTGATTATACCATGTATTTTGAGGAATTTACTTGGTTCTGGGCTTAACAAAATGCAGTATTTAAAACACTTTTTGCAATTCTATGTATTAAATAGTGTGAGGTCACATTTGTGGGACTGAAAAAAAACTATCCAACCCACAACAAAGCATGGCAGCGGCTTCAAATTTCAGGCCCACAAACATGACGTCCGTACAGAGCGTATTCGCCAAACAATGCAATATTTCGACCAACCATACCGATCCTCAGGCCTGAGAAGAGAATGATAGAATTAAAATGGCGCTCTGGGGAGTATTGAATGAGTGTATTTGATGATTGTGTTGCAGTACTGGTTTCAACCCGCTGGAAGTTAACGCTGCTTACAGTGTACAAGACAACATGATATGTGAGTTTATAATTTAAAACTTGTCAGGAACTAAAGAATGAATGATCATTCAGTAATAGTTTGGCATTTAGACAATCCACAAATAAAAAAGTGTAGTAGTTTCTAAATAACTACTAATTTTTGTATGATTAGATAAACTGTTTAACATTAAATTTGTGATTAAAAGTGTGATTATAGAAGTCTTTCAGGGTCAATTCAATAAGTATCAGGACTGAATGGAAAAATCAAAATTGATTGCAGTTACTCATTCTCTTCTAAATACATTCCTGATTTAATACACTTAGTTCCACAAGTCTGCCACTCGTATGCTCGCTGGAATTTGGTTTTCGGAATGCCGTTGACAGCCGCTGTCGTCGCTGCTTGAACCCCCTTGATGTCCTTTCGGCTGCCTATTTACTCATGGAAATAAGAAAAAGTCAGGGAGAGACAGGTTTGGGCTGTAGGGGGGTTGAGGTAGAGGTAATGTGGCAACGCAGAATTTTGCTAGTAGCTCACAACAATCGCCTGTACATAAAATGCGGCATTTACGTTTGCCAGTAGGTACAAACCAGTCAGACCCCCATCTACAGTTGAGGCTACTGTGAAACAGTCCCAATGCTTATTGAATGGGAGGGTGTATAAACCATTTTACAAATAAAACAAAGTAATCTGGGGGCTAAACAACTTATCAGAGGGCTGTTATAGTTGGCCTCTTTCATTAAATGCTCAGGGAATCATTTTTTAAATATAGTAAGGTGTGCTTACAACATCTGATTGATTTTTTGTATTATTTATTTTAATTTAATCTGTTTCAGTTGTGCCTTTGGGGATGATACAGTTCCCTTTTTACCATTTAGGAATCGAGTAAGTAGAGAACAACTCTTGTAATACACTTTGCACTTTTCATAATTATCGAAGAGAGTTTTTAATATGTTTAAACACATAAAAAATTGGTTAATTGAACTCTACGCTTTAACTTTCTGTTGATAAAATTTATTGTTAAACTGCTTACTTCTGTTTCAGTGCTCTCAACTATGGAGCGATTGGTTCAATCTTAGGACATGAACTGGTTCACGCTTTGGATACAGATGGTAAGAAACTGTTTAGGTTCATTGCTAGTACGGTATCAATGTTGTATATTTTTCTTACTTAGTTAACTTGATTAAGACTCACAAAAACCAGTCTATATATATTTACTTGTACCAAACCTGAGCGCAGAGAACAAGGGGGGTTTTAATTGGTTTTAGTATAAATTTTGCAGTGTACATAGTACATTCCTCTATGGTTATAGACAAGGGAAGAGCATTAGTTTGGAAATAGGTCATTCAATCGGGTTGCGATAATTTAGAATTTTGTGAAATAAACAGAAATAAACATTTCCCTCAATTCACTAATCACCTTACACTAAAAACCAGTTAAGATTACTATGCTAAGAGGTTTTTGAGTGATAACTCTTCAGGTTTTTAAAATTGTTTTTTGTTTTGTTTTTATGCTAGTGGCATTTTTATGTTTTTAAAGGGAACAGTCCAAACCCTGGTCTTATTACTACCTTTTTGTTGGATAGCGTCATTAATTCATAGCCCAATGACAAAGGCATCCGGGTCTGGAAACGATCTTGCATGGATTCGAACCAGCGACCTTCAGATTTTAAGGCGAGCACTATAACCACTTGTTTCTGCCCCAACATGAAGTTGTACGCACTTCAGAATCAATAGGAAACCTTGCTTGGGAATACTTATTGATTTTAGTTGACTAACATGTAACAGAAAGTAAATAGTGTATAATTAAAGAAAATAATTATTTAAGATGAAAAAGCAATTTAAACCTTTTCCAAACATATGAAAGAGCTTTGATTTGATTCATAAACAGTTTTGATGAACATGTTTAGCTATAGCTGGAGATAAAAATGCTAAACATCAATCCAACCTTCGTGTCTTCAAATGGCCTCTTTTTCCAGGAAGGAGGTATGACAGGTACGGCAACTATCGTAGCTGGTGGACCAATGACTCAATCAGCGCTTTCAACCAGAAAGTTTCATGTCTCGTAGACAAATACAGCAACTACTACATTGAAGAAGTCGATGAATGGGTACATACTTTAATTCATTTTTACATTTATAATGCTTATTATAATTTTGCAATTCAGGTATTCCCACAATATATTGTGAGGAGGTGAAGCATAAAAAAAAGACTATTAAGGGCTTTTAAGAGTAGTAAAACAAAAATGAGCATTAAACTAGCTTTTTCATAACACCCTTGCAATTCGTACAATGAGTGATAATTTATCTAACCTGATCGACATAATCTGACTTTAGAGGAGGGAAAGATCCAAGGGTCACGTCTGTACTACAAAATTCTCTATTTTGACCTTTTGAATTTCATGTGGTCTAGGTGGAGGAGGGAAACTACTACATAGAATTTGGGTAATTTTACACTGATAGAAATAAAACCTTTCTAAATAGGAGCTGTATATTATCTCGGCCTTCCATAACGTGTGTAAGAAACCAACCCAATCCACCAGAACTGAGAGACTGGCTGCTAGAAACCTTTATATGCTTAGAGTTTACATAAAAATTACTTGTAGAAAAAAAAAATACTATACTCATTTTCCTAAGTTTGTAAAATGTACTCAAATAACCTGCCAATTTAATAATGCATGTACTGTTCTCCATGAACAAGGAAATTAATAATATTGTCGTCTATTTCAGGTTGATGGTAATCTGACTCTCGGTGAGAATATAGCAGACAACGGAGGTCTACGTGCTGCACTCTGGGGCTATCACAAGCGAGTCTCACGTCAGGGGTCGGAACCCAGACTGCCGGGACTGCAACAATACAACCACGACCAGCTGTTCTATCTCGCTTTTGCTAACGTACGTACCCACAGGATCAGCTGGTCTAAGGAACAAAACTTTCCCACAATTCTTAAAAAATAATTTATTGTTTGTCTTTGTCTTAGGGCACACTCCATGTGTTGTAGTGTTGTTATTAGTCAGTGCTCACATTATAACCAGAAGGTTGCTGCTGTTAACCCAATAAAAGTCAATAGCTTTTAAAAGGTTGGAATCTAGACCTAGCAGTGAAGTGGGTTAAAGAAACAGCTGTAGTATAACCAAAACCTACACTTTTGGACTTTTGTCATCTCACTCTATTTTCATTGACCCTGCATTTTGATTAATTGATGTTATAGTTACCATATCATGTCTGGACTTAACATTTTTTTATTTATTTCTTATGTCTTTCTTGTTTCTTGTGGCAAAATGGGTATTCGACTATCTAATCATGATTTTACAGATTTGGTGTGAGAACTGGTCCAAGCAAGCTATGCGGTGGACACTAGAGGGAGAACATGCACCCAACTATGTCCGGGTCATGGGCACACTGTCCAACTCTCCAGAGTTTGGCCGAACGTGGAAATGTCCGGCGAACTCCGAGATGAATCCACAACACAAGTGCCATGTGTGGTGAAATACTTGTTAGATTAGTTTACATTTTGTGTTCTCCGCTGTCAAACCTGTTCCAGGCTTAAGGTTTGCAGGGGATTTAATTGATTCATTTTCATTGAAATAGCAGTTGTACAAGGGTCCTTTGTTAGGTAAGGGCTGTTAGGCTTCTTAGTTTGTATATGCCAAAATGAGGCTCCTCGCTAATTGGTATCATTTGTGAACAGAACAGTGCCATTTGCAGCTCTGAAGCCAACGTGTAACATTTTAAGTGTATCTAGGAAGAGTTTTGAAGTACATATTGAATCTCCCCCCACATATGACATAAGGTCGATATGTTTTTTGGCTGCAAGAAACATCAGCTGCAGACATTCATTGCTACAGATGACTGAAGTTTATGGCCTGAGTGAGGATAAAGTGCAGAAGTTCGTTTGGGGAGTTTGAACATGGCAGTGCAAAAATGTCCATTTTGAAAGAAATTGTGTTTTGGTTGGGTAGCAGGAATTATCAAAAAAGGTTTTCACAGCCATTTGTACACTTTACACTTACTCATCGCATTATAACCTTCCATCATCTGGCGATAAATTCCGGCATCGGATGTTTCCTGTGGTAAAGAAACGTATCACTGAGTCCTGACCTTATTCTGCATGCCGCAAAGATTCGATAATTGAAATAAAAACTGTCTTGAGAAACACACAGAAAAGCATCAGTTACAGATCTGCAGTTGGTGCCATTCGGTTCACCAATATGCCAGTAAACGTTGATCGAGCTGCCTTGTTACGGCATGAATGCAAACTACAGAGCTATACACAAAAACGGCCCTTATTTAAAAAAAGCCCCTCGTAAGTTACCTCCTTTGTTGAATATATTTTTATTAATACATTTCAGATACATTTAGGAACAGGAGGTATATCATGTCAACCATGTCTGTCAGCCTTACTTCAGCAGTGATGATTAGGAGCAATATTTTTTGCTTTGGGTAGAAAGTGAAGTAGTTGGATTTTTGCAAGCCAAATTTGGTACTAACTTCATAGGTAAAAAAAAAACTCAGTGTAGTCAAGTTATCAAGTTAATAAAAATTTAATGATTTATCCTACGTTGATGAATGTGCTACATAAAAAATCTTATCTCTGTAAATATATTAATCTAGCAATAATCAATTGAATAATTATGTGTCATTTATTTCAAGGGTTGATAAAACAAAGTTAATTTAAATATAGGTTAAAATAAACTGTTAACTATTGTAATGAGTTTGTGTACTGTACATAGTTGTTTGTAAGCTAAAATAATGCTATGCACCTAGTTATTTTTTGTTGGTAAGATTAACCAAATTATCTGCAACTTAAACCTATTTCATGCATTTTAGGATAATATCTATAAGTGATTTTTAACACATTCGCTACCGAGGAGACAGTACATACCGAAGGGTGCGACAACCGGTAGAGAACCTGTTAAATTTATTTGGTACTTAATTTTTAAAGCATACTAAATAACACTACATAATTTTTTAATGCCTTAAAGTATTTAGATAATTATAGTATGATAGGTACTGTTGTTAATTTTATTCCTGTGTTAACAATGAAAACAGCAGGGTACAATTATTTGAAATCTATATTCTAATCATACAGTTTCAGGCTATTTTATGTGAAAACTAGTATCTTATAAAAAAAAAAATACATAATTTCAAGTTTAATTTATTTTGTTTTAGCGAATTTCCCTATAGGGAAGTAGCTATTACCGTAGGTCTCATGGTAAGACTTAGGTCCGGGACCGATTTACTTTTTCATTTTAATGTCCCCAGAGGCCAAAAACACCATTCGTTCAAATTTTTATATATGTATATATATATATATAGGTATATATATAGATTTATATATATATATATGTGTCCGTGAACACGATAACTTGAGTAATTTTTATCCGATTTTGATGAAATTTGGTTTGAAGGTGTAAGGCGGGATAAACTTGAATGAGTTCGCGATCCAGCATGATCGGACCATGGGAACAGGGTTTTATGGGGGGTTTTATGGGGTAAAAATTGGTTTTTCTCACTTCTTACCCTCAAAACACAAAATTTCCCAATTTTTCTCTAAACCTTCTTAAAGAGCTTAAAAAAACAAACAATTCAGTATATCAAAGTGTTTTTGTACGGTTATTGGTTACGGAGAAAACTAAAAAAATGGTAAATTTAAAATTCCCGTGTTATTCTTATGGAGAATATTGTAAAATGTTGTAGATTGCTTGTTTATGGATATATTTTGATCAAACTTGGAAAATTTATTTATTTTATAGTAAGCTATCAATATTTTACTAAAAACACACTACTTTATTAGTTTCCTAGTAGCAGCAAACCTAGGTACTCGTTAAACCTAATGTTATTTAAATAGATCAATTTAAAAATCAATTCGGCCAAATGGAAATTCGCTTAGACGGCAGGTTTGCTGCGGCGGGGGTATTTTCTCTAGAAACTGTTTAACCTCTTACAGAATGTGTTACAGTTAACTTATGGGTGATTTTATTTGTTATTTGTTATAATAACTTACCCCACTTCCTAGCAAACAAAAGTTTTGATATTTTTGGCTACAAGAATACTAGTACTGATTTGTATAGTGCCTAGATAAGTTTCTCTTCAATCCTACATGATTAATTAGATTTGATCTAAAAAATCATTTATAAACTGTAGGTATTGAATAAGGTGTTTAAAATATGTTAAGTACCGGTAGTCTACTATTAATTTATTTTAATTCACCGCTGATTAGTCCCTTGTTTGTAATATTATTAGATAACTAATAAGACACTTTTCTGTTAAATGGCATTCTAGTCCATTGACTTGTGATACAAACTGTGATGTCTCTGTAAGAATCTAATTGTAATCAATGAATTATATCTTCTATTATAAGTAATTTATTGAATACCTTATCTCCTAATCTTTTCCAGGCACAGTAGGCTATTTTTCATCACTTAGACCAAAGGAAAGAATTTTGATAAGCATCGCCTGCAATTGATCTTGACTGTTTTTGTTCATTCTCATACGTAACTTTGATCTTCTAGTGTAGGGGATGTGGATGAATGCCCCTTGTAGGCTATGTAATGGACTATATTTTTTGTTAGGTATCCTGTACAAAGTATGAAGCCTCTACTGTCAGACTTTTATTTTACTGGGGGCGAGCTAGTCTAGTGGTAGAACTCAGGGCTTCAATGCCCAAAGGTCCTGGGGTCAAATCCTTCCAATCACCGATGGATTTTATTCATGTGATTATGTTGCGAGTCTCTAGGAATAGCCTAAAGTAGTTCCAGGCTAGAAACTATCGTCCTAGGATAAAAGGTGGGATATAAAAAAAACTGGTTCACTTTTTACAAAATTACAGAGAAGTAAGAAGCAGAGGATACATGCATCGGTACACTTAGGCCTGGCGCACACGGTCGATTTTTCGATCGGCCGATAAAAAAATCGGCCAAAAATAAATCGCCATTGATTTATGTCTAGGCGCACACGTGGCGAATTTTTAGCCAAGAAATGGATTTTTTTTAAATGGGTTTAAGCTATACTAAAATGGGCTTTGTTGAATTAACCTATGTTTGTGCTCTTCTAATTAGACCAAAGAAAAAAGAAGACAACTTAAATATTGGGTTCATCCGATAGTAATTTAGAGACTTTTAAATCGACAGTTTTATAAACTATACACTTTACAAGATGACAGTAAAAAGTTCTTTAAGAATGTTTGTTGAAAGTTTCAGTTTTTATTATAATAGCTGTGGCATTTTTTTAGCAAAGAAAACAGCACAAATCAGACTGAAGTACTGAAGTTCACTGACTCCTGTGGAGAACAACAAGCGACTGGCCGATTTTTTAGTCGACCGTGTGCGCGGACTGATAACAATCTGTACGTTACAGATTTTTGGGCGACAATCGCCTCGCCTACGAATCTGTGGCAAAACCCAGATTTTAAAATCGGCGCAATTTTCAATCGCCTGTGTGCGCGCTTCCATTCAAATACATGATGCACAGATCGGCCGATGAAATAGTCGCCTCAAAATAATCGCTCGTGTGCGCCTAGCCTTAAGTGGTGTCTGGCACCAATTGCTTGTGTCTAGCACCAGTTGCTATGCTAGTCTCTAGCACCAGTTGCTAGTGTCTAGCACCAGTTGCTAGTGTCTAGCCTCACTTGCTGGTTAATATATCAGTTAGTTTATGTGACTATGTGAGACATGTAATCAATTATGTAGGTTTATCCTAATTCAAGATTTAACCCATTTGCATCGTCTTATTTATTTTCAAAAAATACAAGTATCACCGAAACATTAAAAAGATGAAAAAAAATATATTTTAGACTATTTTTTATGTTGTTTTATAGTATTTTATAGCTGAAAATAATAATAAATTATAATGTCAAATCAAATCTTTTATTGTAGTCAGACAATATACATTGTATTACAAACGTCAACTTAAATAACATCTAACTATAAACAATAAAATAATGTAAATGAAATAACAAAACTGGTACTATAACACTTATAACACATGAAAGTAATAAATACAGAGTAAGTGGACTTAGCTTAAAACTTTTATTTTTATAAATTGGGCTGTTCAAAAAATTCAGCAACAGAGTAACATACACGTTCTAAAAGATATTCTTTTAACTTAATTTTGAATTTCGCTTCTGACGTAAAGGATTGTAGATTGGCTGGAAGTTTGTTAATCAGTTTTGGCCCGAGATATTGAGGTAATGATGCAGCTAATTCCAATACTATGAGAGGTTTGTCTATGATGGTGTCTTTGCCTGGTATTATAATTATGAATATCTGCACCGGTTACTTTTGTTGTTGATTTAAATCTATAATATAAGACAATTTTAATGATATATATCGAAGGTAACGTTAGAATTTCAAGAGATTAAAAAAATTTTCGGCAAGGTGTTTTTCTGTACTATAAGAGACACAATAGGTAACATGATGCAACAAGCCTGGGGAAACAGTATTAAAGAGACATTGATAGCAGGACGCAGCCATCTAAAGGAACCTGCACTAAAAGCTGATTTATTTTGTAGAGGTGTATGGAATACTGTTTTATGTTCGTGCCATTGATACTGATGCTCCATCTTATGTCTCCATCCCTCATCAACGTGTTATAAGAAAAGCAGAAAATGAAAAAAAAGAAAGTACACGAAAGCTTGTGAATGACATGCATAATTTGCTCCTCTTGTCACAAGTGTTGATGAAATTTTTGGTAATGAATTTCAAATGTTTTTAAGGGTTATGGCTGAAAAATTATCAGAAAAATGGATAAAAACATACAGTTTGGTAATTAATTGGATACAATCAAGAACAATTTGTGCAGTTTTAAGGGAAACCATTTTGTGTCTGAGACGAACTAGAAAGAAATGGCGGTCAGCGAGAGAATTTGAAGATGAAGCAGAGATTCCAAATTTTTTTAGTGTAAAAATGTATTGTTAAATTCTGATTGTACCTGTACTCTTTTTTGTAAAATTTCCATTGTAATAAATTCCTATGTAAAAAAATCAAACAGCTGATGTGTCTGCAAAATCTTAAACGTGAGCCCTTAAATCTTAAATACACTTTGATCTTAAATACAGCCCTAAATTTTCCTGTAGGCAGTGAAGGATTTTCCACTGAGGTCACTCTCTGGTGTATGTTGCATCATATTTTTGTTACTTTTAAAGGATTCCTACACAGTTTATACTTAAGGTCGCTATCCATAGAGTATTAATGTATGTTTCTTTATAATGCTTCTTATTTGCAACAATTTTCAGTATATAGTGCACTTATGGGGGCTCTCCTGAGCATCGTCCTGAGTTTTGTTTTAATGTATAAATCTTCATATTGTCCTTGGTTTTGAGGGATTTTCTACAAAATAGTACACTTATGGTCGCTCTCCAGTGTGAATCAACGAATGTCGCTTCATATTTGATTTAATTGAGAAGAGTTTTCCACATATAGCACACTTATGAGGTCGCTCTCCAGTGTGAATCAATGAATGTTGCATCATTTTTGCTTTGGTTAAGAAGAGTTTTCCACATATAGCACACTTATGAGGTCGCTCTCCTGTGTGAATCAATGAATGTTGCTTCATATCTTGTTTGGTTGAGAAGAGTTTTCCACATATAGCACACTGATGAGGTCGCTCTCCAGTGTGAATCAATGAATGTTGCATCATTTTTGCTTTGGTTAAGAAGAGTTTTCCACATATAGCACACTTATGAGGTCGCTCTCCTGTGTAAATCAATGAATGTTGCTTCATATCTTGTTTGGTTGAGAAGAGTTTTCCACATATAGCACACTGATGAGGTCGCTCTCCAGTGTGAATCAATGAATGTTGCATCATTGCTGCTTTGCGTAAGAAGAGTTTTCCACATACAGCACACTGATGAGGTCGCTCTCCAGTGTGAATCAATGAGTGTCGCATCATTACTGCTTTGGTTGAGAAGAGGTTTCCGCATATAGTACACTTATGAGGTCGCTCTCCAGTGTGAATCAATGAGTGTCGCATCATTACTGCTTTGGTTGAGAAGAGGTTTCCGCATATAGTACACTTATGAGGTCGCTCTCCAGTGTGAATCAATGAGTGTCGCATCATTACTGCTTTGGTTGAGAAGAGGTTTCCGCATATAGTACACTTATGAGGTCGCTCTCCAGTGTGAATCAATGAGTGTCGCATCATTACTGCTTTGGTTGAGAAGAGGTTTCCGCATATAGTACACTTATGAGGTCGCTCTCCAGTGTGAATCAATGAATGTCGCATCATATCTTGTTTGGTTGAGAAGAGTTTTCCACATACAGCACACTGATGAGGTCGCTCTCCAGTGTGAATCAATGGATGCTGCATCATTCCTGCTTTGCGTGAGAAGAGTTTTCCACATATAGCACACTTATGAGGTCGCTCTCCAGTGTGAATCAATGAATGTTGCATCATTAAATCTTTGCGTGAGAAGAGTTTTCCACATATACCACACTGATGAGGTCGCTCTCCAGTGTGAATCAATGAATGTTGCATCATTACTGCTTTGGTTGAGAAGAGTTTTCCACATATATCACACTGATGAGGTCGCTCTCCAGTGTGAATCAATGAATGTCGCATCATTACTGCTTTGGTTGAGAAGAGGTTTCCACATATACTACACGAATAAGGTCGCTCTTCCGTGTGAACCACTGTATGACTTTTCATATAGCTCCTAGTTTTGAAGGATTTTCCACATATAGTGCACTTATAAGGTCGCTCTTCCGCGTGAACCACTGTATGACTTTTCATATTGCTCCTAGTTTTGAAGGATTTTCCACATATAGTGCACTTATAAGGTCGCTCTCCCGAGTGAACCAATGTATGTATCTTCATTTCGATATCGGTTTTGAAAGCTTTTCCACATATACTACACAAATGAGGTCGCGCTTCTGTGTGATGTAATGCATGTGTCTTCATACTCTTCCTAGTTTTAAAGGATTTTCCACATACAGCTTATTTATGAGGTCGCTCTTCTGTGTGAAGTAATGCATGAATCTTCATACTCTTACTGGTTTTAAAGGCTTTTCCACATATAATACACGAATGAGGTCGCTCTCCGGTGTGGACCACTGTATGAATTTTCATAAGGAAATTAGTTTTGAAGGATTTTCCACATATAGCACACTTATGAGGTCGCTCTCCGGTGTGAACCAATGTATGCTTCTTCATAGAGCTCATGAATTTGAAGGATTTTCCACATATACTACACTTATGAGGTCGCTCTTCCGTGTGAACCACTGTATGAATTTTCATAACCTTCCTAGTTTTGAAGGATTTCTACATATACTACACTAATGAGGTCGCTCTTCCGTGTGAACCACTGTATGAGTTTTCATAATCTTCCTAGTTTTGAAGGATTTTCCACATATATTACAATTATAAGGTCGCTCTCCCGTTTGATCTAATGTATGAATTTTCATATTGTTCTTGGATCTGAATGATTTTCCACATGTAGTGCACTTATAAGGACAATTCCCAGGATGTGTCAACACATGATTCTTTACATGGTGTAGATGAATAAATGTTTTCTCACACATCAAACATCTAAATGGACGCTCGCCCGTGTGTAAATAAATATGACACTTCATTGTTGATAGAGTTGAAAACATTTGTCTACAAATTGGACACTGAAGGCAAGGCTTTTTGGTGATCTTTGACATGTTTTAGTTTCAATTTTTGACTTTTAACTTATCAGACTTGACAGTAACTAATAGGAACTAGTCAGTTGGCTTTGTATGTGTATTAAAATATGTTATTTTTGTAGGACTTTTAAGTTGTTTAACAGTTATTCGTGTGTATATTAATTAACTTTAAATATCTCTTGCTTAAATATTTTTATGTGTGTTAAATTGAAGGCATTTTGCTTTTTTTTGTTCAATCATATTATATTAGCCTACTTAAAGAATGGCTTAGATGTTTCATGTTGTTTTTAACTAATATTGCATCAGCCATATAAAAGTTGTATGTAAAATTCAAGTTTTACATAGTGAATAACTTACTTAATTTTCCCTTTAGTGTAGGTAGTAAAAACTTAATCTTGTTAGCTTTTAAGTTTTGATACAATCAGGGATTATGTAAATAATCTTTCTTGCCATTCTTGAATTGAAGTTAATTTTCAAATCTATTGTCTCTCCTGTAAAAGACGATATTTTATTAAAACCTAAGCTAACAGAATGATACAAGTAATTAAATATATTGCACCCAAAGTTTTTCCGTATATGGGATGTTGGTTTAGAAGGATTTTCTGAATGAGCTCCACTTTTGGATCACTCTCTAATATGAACCAAAGAATGTTTGTTTATATAGCTTTGGCATGCAAAGTGCCTTCTGCACATAGTAACACTTATAAGGTTGCTCTCCGGTGTGAACTAACTAATAATGTATGTTTCTTTATTTTCCTGTAGACAGTGAGGGATTTTCCACTGAGGTCACTCTCTGGTGCATGTTGCTTCATATTTTTGTTACTTTTATAGGATTTCCTACATAGTTTATACTTAAGGTCGCTATCCATAGTGTATTAATGTATGTTTCTTCATAATGCTTCTAATTTGCAACAATTTTCAGTATATAGTGCACTTGGAGAGCGACTCCTGAGCGTTTTGTTTTAATGTGTAAATCTTCATATTGTCCTTGGTTTTGAGGGATTTTCCACAAAATAGTACACTTATGAGGTCGCTCTCCAGTGTGAACCAACGGTTGCTTCATTACAGTTTTGGTTGAGAAGAGTTTTCCACATATAGTACACTTATGCTCGCTCTCCAGTGTGAATCAATGAATGTCGCTTCATATTTGATTTATTTGACAAGAGTTTTCTACATATAGTACACTTCAGGGTGGCTAGTGAAATCACATTGAAAAATTCCCTGACTTTTCCCTGACAATTCCATGAATTTTTTTAAACTTTCCCTGATCAACAAATTCAAAATTACAATTTTAATACTAACTAATTCTTCAAAAGGACTAATCTTTATCTGAAGAATATCTAATGTTTGTTTACACGAAAAAAAAACAAAACATAAAATCTATAGATACAGGCTAGCTTATATTCAAACTTTGCAGCTTGCCTTAATAAAATTAAACTGAGTTTGATAAGATGATACACAGTTTAAACCAAATTTAATTTGTACAAAAACACAAAATTTATTTTTACAGACATAATTCTTAGTTTTCACCCACACGGCATACGTACTCTTACCAGATCGACCTTTCCTAACAATTATTAAAATTATTTTAAAAATTTTACAATTTTCCCTGACTTATGACCAAATTCCCTGACTTTTCCATGACTTTTCCAGATATTTAATACTCCCTGACATTTCCAGGTTTTCCAGGTCACTAGCCACCCTAAGGGTCGCTCTCCAGTGTGAATCAATGAATTTCGCTTCATTACAGTTTTGGTTGAGAAGTTTTCTACATATAGTACACTTATGGTCGCTCTCCAGTGTGAATCAATGAATTTCGCTTCATTACAGTTTCGGTTGAGAAGTTTTCTACATATAGTACACTTATGGTCGCTCTCCAGTGTGAATCAATGAATGTCGCTTCATATTTGATTTAATTGAGAAGAGATTTACACATATAGCACACTTATGAGGTCGCTCTCCAGTGTGAATCAATGAATGTTGCATCATTACTGCTCTTCTTAAGAAGAGTTTTCCACATATAGCACACTTATGAGGTCGCTCGCTCTCCTGTGTGAATCAATGAATGTCGCATCATATCTTGTTTGGTTGAGAAGAGTTTTTCACATACAGCACACTGATGAGGTCGCTCTCCAGTGTGAATCAATGAATGTTGCATCATTGCTGCTTTGCGTAAGAAGAGTTTTCCACATATAGCACACTGATGAGGTCGCTCTCCAGTGTGAATCAATGAGTGTCGCTTCATTACAATTTTGGTTGAGAAGTTATCCACATATAGTACACTTATGGTCGCTCTCCAGTGTGAATCAATGAATGTCGCTTCATTACTGCTCTTCTTAAGAAGAGTTTTCCACATATAGCACACTTATGAGGTCGCTCTCCTGTGTGAATCAATGAATGTCGCATCATATCTTGTTTGGTTGAGAAGAGTTTTCCACATACAGCACACTGATGAGGTCGCTCTCCAGTGTGAATCAATGAGTGTTGCATCATTGCTGCTTTGCGTAAGAAGAGTTTTCCACATATAGCACACTGATGAGGTCGCTCTCCAGTGTGAATCAATGAGTGTCGCATCATTACTGCTTTGGTTGAGAAGAGGTTTCCGCATATAGTACACTTATGAGGTCGCTCTCCAGTGTGAATCAATGAATGTCGCATCATTTCTGGTTTGGTTGAGAAGAGTTTTCCACATATAACACACTGATGAGGTTGCTCTCGCTCTCGAGTGTGAATCAATGAATGTTGCACCATTCCTGCTTTGCGTGAGAAGAGTTTTCCACATATAGCACACTTATGAGGTCGCTCTCCAGTGTGAATCAATGAATGTTGCATTATTAAATCTTTGCGTGAGAAGAGTTTTCCACATATACCACACTGATGAGGTCGCTCTCCAGTGTGAATCAATGAATGTTGCATCATTACTGCTTTGGTTGAGAAGAGTTTTCCACATATATCACACTGATGAGGTCGCTCTCCAGTGTGAATCAATGAATGTCGCATCATTACTGCTTTGGTTGAGAAGAGGTTTCCACATATACTACACGAATAAGGTCGCTCTTCCGTGTGAACCACTGTATGACTTTTCATAACCTTCCTAGTTTTGAAGGATTTTCCACATATAGTGCACTTATAAGGTCGCTCTTCCGTGTGAACCACTGTATGACTTTTCATATTGCTCCTAGTTTTGAAGGATTTTCCACATATAGTGCACTTATAAGGTCGCTCTTCCGAGTGAACCAATGTATGTATCTTCATTTCGATATCGGTTTTGAAAGCTTTTCCACATATACTACACAAATGAGGTCGCTCTTCTGTGTGATATAATGCATGGGTCTTCATACTCTTCCTAGTTTTAAAGGATTTTCCACATATAGCGCACTTATGAGGTCGCTCTTCTGTGTGAAGTAATGTATGAATCTTCATGTGAATCTTCATATGAATCTTCATACTGTTACTCGTTTTAAAGGCTTTTCCACATATAATACAGGAATGAGGTCGCTCTCCGGTGTGGACCACTGTATGAATTTTCATATGGACCTTAGTTTTGAAGGATTTTCCACATATAGCGCACTTATGAGGTCGCTCTCCGGTGTGATCCAATGTATGCTTCTTCACAGAGCTCAAGAATTTGAAGGATTTTCCACATATACTACACTTATGAGGTTGCTCTTCCGTGTGAACCACTGTATGAATTTTCATAACCTTCCTAGTTTTGAAGGATTTTCCACATATACTACACTTATGAGGTCGCTCTTCCGTGTGAACCACTGTATGAGCTTTCATAATCTTCCTAGTTTTGAAGGATTTTCCACATATATTACAATTATAAGGTCGCTCTACCGTGTGAACCAATGTATGCATTTTCATACTCTCACTGGTTTTGAAGTATTTTCCACATGTAGTGCACTTATAAGGACAATTCCCAGGATGTGTCAACACATGATTCTTTACATGGTGTAGATGAATAAATGTTTTCTCACACATCAAACATCTAAATGGACGCTCGCCCGTGTGTAAATAAATATGAAACTTCATTGCCGATAGAGTTGAAAACATTTGTCTACAAATTGGACCCTCAAGGGGAGGTTTTTTGATGATCTTTAACATGTTTTAATTTTTAATTTTTGACTTCTAACTTATCAGACTTGGCAGTAACTAATAGGAACTAGTTAGTTGGCTTTGTATGTGTATTAAAATATGTTATTTTTGTAGGACTTTCAAGTGTTTAACAGTTATGTATGTGTGTTAAATTGAAGGCATTTTGCTTTTTTTCAGTTCAATCATATTAAATTAGCCTACTTAAAGAATGGCTTAGATGTTTTATGTTGTTTTTAACTAATATTGCATCAGCCATATAAAAGTTATACTCGTTTTACACAATGAATTACTTACTTAAATTTGCCCTTTAGTTTACGTAGTAAAAACTTAATCTTGTTAGCTGCTTTTTTAAGTTTTGATGCAATCAGAGATTATGTAAATAATCTTTCTTGATCTTGCCACATGAATAATTGAAGTTCCTTTCTCCTCTTCTAATCTATTGTCTACCCTGTAAAAGACAATATTTTATTAAAACATATACATACACATCTTTTATAAGTTTGTAGTTCTATTTGTTTGCTCATTTAGGTTACACTATGATTTCAAACATTAGACATTACAATATTACATTAGGTATTCAATATTTTTGTACAATACACAGTCGCGTTTAAGGCTGAAAATTGTACATACAAGTCTTAAAGTAAGCTGAAAATACTTACCCAATATGGCTTGAACCCAGGATCTAATAAGGCATTTTTCAGCCGTTCAGCAAATTACAAATACGCAATGGACATTGTCACAAAAAATTACATTAATAAGACGGAAATACCTATAGACTATGTACAATCCTTAGGACAACATTTATGACATGTAGAACATTTACATAGAACACATAGAAAGAATATTTAATATTTAATGGTAATTCTTGGTTTTTGAGAGTCTAGCATTTGTTTTGGCTTGAATCGGTCAGATATTGTATTTTTGAGGGTTTATATGTCCCTATAATAGCTTTGCCGGCATATTTAAAAAATGCACACTTAAATGTTAACCAACTGCTGTTCTGAATATAAGAAGGATTCAACTGACTACAAGATCCCTCTCCGTAGAACGGGCACACAGCTAGTAATAAATAAAATTGGCCCTAAAACAGATCCTTGGGGGATGCCATAAGAAGTAGTCAAAACTTTTGAGAAATTACCATTTACATCAACAACTTGTCTGCGGTTACTAAAATAAGATCTAAATATTGACAGCTCCTTACCCTCTAAAACATAAAATTCTGATTTCTTAAGTAAAACATCATGGTTCTTCTCCAATACCTTAACTTTCTACTAAACCATCAACAGCTTTGGTGGTAGACATACCACTACGAAAGCCAAACTGATTGCTGCATGCTGCTGAACAGATTGTTGTTTCCGAAAAAGGAAAACAGTTGCTTTTTCAAGAGCAATTCAAATGTTATATTTTAAAATGTGAAAGCATTCTAAACAAATTTTAAAATATGTTTGTTGTATTAAAAAGTGAAAGAATTGCTACAACTTAAACTGTAACTGTGTAAACTTAAAAATAGTTCTAAAATATGTTTGTGCCTTGTAATTTTCAATTCTATACAGGGTGAGTTTTAAATGAGTTCCTCCCCTACTTTTTTCTACATTTCTTAAGATATCAACTCCGAACCACATCAGATCATTGAAGAGTAGTAAGTACTTCATTTTGACTGGGTATACATTTTTGGCCGCCATCTTGGATCCGCCATATTGGATACAAAGTTTTTTTTTTCAAATGTAAAGGTAGGGTTGTGATCCATTATTTTAAACTGGAATTTTACGCTGATTACAATGCCGCAATTAGTTTTTAAAAATCTTGATCCGTTCTAAAGTTATGAGGACTTCTTATAACTTTATTTTTAGCCCATTTTAACATTGTGCATTTACAAACTAAGACCATAATCTCAAAATAGTGCTAGATAACGATAAGTATACACCACCATTCATTGTCGACCTATTTCACTTGGTTATGACAGTTGTAATTTTTTCGGCCGCCATCTTGGATCCGCCATTTTGAAATGTGATCAATTAATTTAAATATGAAGATGGTGTTGTGACCAATCATTTCGAGCTACTTTTTTGTGCTGAGCTTAATGCCACAATCCGTTTTTCATTTGCATCTTTGGTTTTTGAAATATTGAAATTTTAAATAAGAGAATATTAATATTTCATCAAGAAAGCTTGATAACCAAAAACGGATTGCGGCATTAAGTTCAGTATAAAAAAGTAGTTCAAAATGATGGGTCACAACACCACCTTCATATTTAAATTAATTGATCATATTTCAAAATGGCGGATCCAAGATGGCGGTCGAAAACATTACATCCGTCATAACCAAGTGAAAATAGGTCGACAATGAATGGTCGTGTATACTTATCGTTATCTAGCACTATTTTGAGATTATGGTCTTAGTTTGTAGATGCACAATGTTAAAATGGGCTAAAAATAAAGTTTTAAAAAGTCCTCATAACTTTAGAACGGATCAAGATTTTTAAAAATTAATTGCGGCATTGTATTCAGCGTAAAATTCCAGTTTGAAATAATGGGTCACAACCCTACCTTTACATTTGAAAAAAACAATGCTTCAATATACTAAATTATTTGTTTTTTTTGAGCTCTACAAAATGGTTTAGAAAGAAATTGCAAAATGTTATGTTTTCAGGATGAAAAATTAGAAAAACCCACTTTTACCCCATAAAACCCCCCATAAACCCCTGTTCCCATAGTCCGATCATGCTGGTTCGCGAACTCGTTCAAATAAATGTAGGTTTACACGTTTATACCAAATTTCATCAAAATCGGACCATTTTTGCTCGAGTTATCGCGCTAACGGACACATATATAAATATATATATATATATATAAATATATATATATATGAATTTGAACAGATGGTGTTTTTGGCCTCTGGGGACCTCAAAACGAAAAACTAAATCGGTCCCGGATGCAGATCTTACCATGAGACCTACGGTAAAAATTCTCTAAAAAAACTTTGTATCCAATATGGCGGTTCTAAGATGGCGGCCAAAAATGTATACCCAGTCAAAATGAAGTACTTACTAAGTACTTCACATGTACAGTTTTATGAAGTACTTATGAAGTACTTACAATGATCTGATGTGGTCCGGAGTTGATATCTTAAGAAATGTAGAAAAAAGTAGGGGGGGAACTCATTTAAAACTCACCCTGTATACATACGAACTAAGTATGTTTGTCTGACTGTCTGTAATATTTATCTCAAAATCCAGTGGAAGGATTCGTGATTGGTGAGCTGTTCCTGGGTACTATTTTATAAGATAAGCAATTTGTTTATACTGAAGCAGATTTATTGTTAATGTTAATAAACTGTATTCAATTTTGATCGTTTAAAGAAACTGTTCATCAAACCACTTACAGAGTGAGTTCCAGTAAACTTAAAGAGCTTATGGCCTTCTTATTTGTTATTGCATACATATTTGATGTATCATAAAATATACTTAGTTTACATAAAGTTTTTCGGTCAGTTTTGCTTGGTTAACAAGTTAGTGGCACACACTGTCTGTGGCTGAACTCAACTTATTTGTACTCGCTACAGCTTTATCGTAGCAACGACATGTCTATTTTTATGTGTAGGCAAAGGCAATAACTTGCCCCACTTCCTAGCAAACATAAGTTTGAGATATTTTTGCCTATTCAAGAATATTAGTCCTGATTTGTATAGTGCCTAGATAAGTTCCCTTTTCAATCCTACATGATTTTTAGATTTTATCTAAACAGTCATTTAGAAACTAATTATCGAATAAGGTGGTTGAAATATGTTAATTAAAAGTCTAGCATAAATTTATTTTGGTGCACTTTTGATTATTTCCTAATTTGTAATATTATTAGATAGGTAACTAATAAAGAAACTTTTCTGTTAAATGGCATCCTAGACCATTAACTTGTGATACAAACTGTGATGTCTCTTTAAGAATCTATATATCTAATTCCGTAAGCCCAAAATTTTACAATATGAAATTGTGAGCGAACTGGAGGCCGTAGAAAGCTGGGAGAGGTCTCATTTTAAAGGTCTGGGCATGAAATTTTGGGGAAAAATATTCATTTTTCTTAATTATGCACCAAAAGGTTATTACAGAATAAAATAATTCACATTTAAATAGCATGGGAATCTAGGTCATGTCTGCTTTGTTTACTTTAAAACATGTGGTTTAACTTTATTTAAAGCATATGGTAATATCATTGACTATTGGCTACAGAAGTTGTATTAATAGTCAAAGGTAGTATGTAATATGTACTGTAATAAGTAAACTATTATAATAAAGCTGAAATAGAATATTCCCAATTTTATGTCTTTTAGTGTAAAAACAGCTGTGATAATATAAATTGAAAGAATTATAACCACACCTCAATGTGTATTATTTTGTTATTGTAAAAATGTTAGTGAAGTAGTAAACAACACAAAGTGAAAATTAGGCTATATCAAATCTTTTAAACATACAATTTGACACTTTTAAACTTTGTATGATTTTGTTATTGTAAAAATGTTAGTGAAGTAGTAAACAACACAATGTGAAAATTAGGCTAGATCAAATCTTTTAAACAAACAATTTGACACTTTTAAACTTAACACTTTTTAATAGATTAATAATGTATAATGTTGGAAGACTACCACGCAGGGGTAGGCCGCCACGCAGAGGTATTGTTCCTCGAAATGAGAACAACAGGCGCCAGATTTGGCGCGATATAAATGGAAGAAGAATAAATGAGCATCCGGATGAACATGAAGTTATTCCTGTGTATAGATTACCACTTTTAAATGAAATTGCATTGCACAGCTTAGGACCAATGAACGATGAGTGCATTCATTGTGGTGCATTGCACTTCATTGATGAATTGACAAGTGGACACTACAACTCTTGCTGCCACAATGGCCTAATACACCTACCACAGCCTCAAAATAACAATGAGCTGCAAGAACTATTTAATAATGCCCATTTTATGAAAAATATAAGACAGTACAATAGCGCTATGGCATTTGCATCTCTTTCGGCAACAAAAAAAGAAGTACCAGGTAACGGACCATATTGTTTTAAGGTACAGGGGCAAATTCACCGTTATATTTCAGACTTATTACCAATTGAACAAACCCCTTTATATGGACAATTATATTTCTTGGATACTGCATTTGCAAACAATATTAGACTACAAAGACCTGAAAATAGTGAACTCAAATTGGAAATAGTGACACGATTATCGGACATATTGTCAGATAACCCTTATTCACAATCCTATAAAAAAGCTTCCGAAATTATGACAAATGAAGGCAATCAAAGCATCGCATTAAGGTTTGTAGATAACATTTCTATGGATCTGAGGCGATTCAACAAACCCACCGCAGATGAAATCGCCGGAGTGTTCAATTCTGAAGAAGGTGAACCCCCGCACAATCGCCATGTAGTAATATATAACCGCCAAAGCGGGC